CTAAAATTATTATCCAAATTTTATTCGTAAAAATAAAAATTTAATGAGAAAAACATGCATCAATTTTTATTCTAAGATATTTGATTAATCTCATCATTTTAACTTATTTCATTTAAATTTGACAACAATATTTAAATAAATGACAATAGTATAGAAGAATTCCCACAGCAAAAAACTTATCCAGATTAAATAAGATCATGTCACTTTCTGGAGCGACATATTTTTTTAATTTTTTTTTTATATTGCGGGATTTGCTATGACTTTTTATTACCGTTCAACTGTTACGCATCAAATGATATCATGTCACTTTTGCAATGAATAAAAAATATCAAAGAATATAAAACGTTCTAGACAATTCCCGATTTAATTGTTTCTACTTTCAGTTTTTATGGATTTTATAATACAAATATTTAATGATAAACCAGAATAAAAAAATCCAGCTGCAAAGACTTCTGAAGCTGACATCAAATAAATTCCAATAACTCTATTCACTAACATCAAATAAAACTTGTTCAATATCAAATCCTGCGGCGCAACGCGGGTCAATTTCTAGTCATCTACAACACTAGTTTGATGATTAAAGAAGTCTAATTGAATTTACAAAATGGGCCGGGGTTTCTCTATGTAATATTCTGATTGAGAGCAATGATAATGTTTTGGCAAACTTTATGAATGTACCATATGGTTTAGTCAAACTTTTATGAATGTACCATATGGTTTAGTCAAACTATAATTTCGGACTACCATAACTCCATTTGACATAAATTTGTAACCATTTAAATTTTCTTTTGTTTATGTCAACAAATTTATCTTTAAATAGCAGCAATAAAAAAAAGTTGACCAGAGTCTACTTATATATAAGTTAAACAATTCTTCTTTTTTTATGTAATCAACCTAAATATCTTTCCTTCTCCAACGTTCTCTTATCTATCATGGTCATGGAGGCTTCTTCAGACCCCAACAAGAGAATACGTCGATGTCAACACCTTCCTAGCGTTTCTTCTTCCTCCTCAGGACAACATCTTGACCCTATCCTTGCCAATGTCAACCAGAAGCACGCAGATCAGATTATCTCCTCCCTCGATCTCTTTGTCCGTGTCGCCTCCTTTGTCCTCGTCACTAGCCAAACGACCCCTTGACGAAATGTTCTTATATTCTGACGAATCTGTTAATCTGGATTGTGGAATCGAACTCTCCTCGCTTCTTCACGAGTCCACCAAAAGGTGGTATCGTAGACAGGCCACAACCCAAAATTCAATATCACATGGCCACTTCCTAGTGAGCTCACGGTTAAGGTAAACAAATCACGGCTTCCTGAGTTATTATTGAACCTAGCTAGAGACCATGGTTTAGGGCTTTGTTAGGGAATGTTTTTGGGACGATTGAATGATGTTCCGTAGAGTATCCTTAGATTATGTATTGAATGATGTTCCATAGATGTAATCAATATTTTTTGCATTTTCCTTTGATGCATATGCTGAATAGTATCATAGGATGATGATATGTGCTCTCTTGAATGTATTTGTAATGGATTATTCAGCTCTTTTTCATGGTTGATACTAAGTCATTGGCGAAGCTTCAACGTTGACTTGACCACCGCAAATGTTAAAAATAAAGTTGTGCGTGATATGATCCTTAATGCTGGAAAGGAACTTAGGTGATATATGTTTTGTCTTCTTCTTGTCCCTCTCTCTTCTTAAACTTCTCCTATTTCTTGCTTTTCTATTTCTTATCTCTCATCTCGTTTTTCATTAAGTTGATGCATGCAGATCTCTTAAAGTTGGTTGTCGAGATGAATCTACAGAAACTCTGCTTGCAGGATATTGTCTTGCCCCTCTATCATATTAAAAGCATGGTGTTCTTGGGTATTGACTCGCTCTATTACAGAATTTGTATTTGACCTTGTATGTTCTAATTTGATATCTTGCATTTTATTTTTATTTTCTGTTCAACAAGGAACCTCCTGGGAAGCCTACACTTTTACATTCGCGGATGGTTGGAAGACAGGTACTCCTTATGTGGTCCGTTGTCAGTCTGCTCAAATCTGACCGATTTAAAGATCGTTGGATTGTAAGTTGGCCTTACTTGTTGCTTACTATATATACTCATTTTCTGTTTGAGTTTCATGAATTGTCCATTCCTTTTTTTGCTTTCATCATCTATGCTTTCCATTATTTGTTCATTTTTTACTTTGGCTAACGCATGGCTTCAACAAGTATTTAAATAGCAAAACAAAACCTTAAGAGAATAATTTCCAAAACCCAAAAGAAAACATGATTAAAGAGAAGGTTAAATTGGTTAAATTAGAATCTGCTAGTTCCCCTTGTACCTTTTTGATAAGATCCAAGAGTTTACGTGTTCAGTCACCAAAAGACAACACCATATAGTGACTTTGGAAAAGAAGCGAATATCAGCTCTTAGTCTAAATTCAGAATGCCTAAACCCTAAAAGTCTACTGCTGAGCTCCCAAGTCTTTATACTCCTCATAGACTAGTTACAATAGTCATAATATTTGTGTTTTTCACTGACAGGAGTATTGATACACTGCCTGAGGTGGTAGATTTGCCCACAATAAAATGTCAGCATTTGTTCTTAGAGAATGCTAAATATGGTAAAGTTTTTCCGCTGTGATGCTTTGCTATTTTGTTGTATGATAGCTCCCATGTTTGTCTGACCTCAATGTGTGACAGGTGCATGGAACTTTATAAATGTTTCGCCCTTTCAGAGTAACTGCCCCAATCTTACTTCACTATCACTTCTACGTTTTCACATAACAGATCAGGAAGCCTACATGCTTTTAATGGCATGGCTCTTTTGGTTTCCTGGTGATTCTTCTGTTTTCAGTTCGTTACAAAAAACATTGGGGTTATTTTTTAATTTATTTTTCTTTGCAGGATTTGCGTAAACTTAAGTACATGGACCTATCCAAAACATCTGGATTTGAAGGACACTGTTGTCTGTTGAGGTGAATTCATGTTGCCTGAGCAAACAGTTATGATGAAATAATTGTTTTTTTTTCTGTTAGCAAAACCTATGGCGGAGATTTTGTTTCTTATGGTAGGGATGTGAGCCATGACTTCAAAGACGCTCTGATCGAGACTCTTATATTGCGAGATTCCATTTTGCTAACGAAGGTAAGTTAAGGAATTAACATACAGTCTTCTTCTCTTGTTGTTGCATCGGGTCATATTAATGCTTGCCCTTTTGGAATTACGGATATTCAGAGAATGGTTTGCCAGTTTTTGGATTCGTTACTTACAGCAGGACACTTGAGATTCATTCGACACATTGTGAGTTCTTAAGAAGACATCACTCATAGTTTTTATAAAAATATGATGGTGACAGATGATTTTGTTTACTCATGATATTTTTTTTTTCAATATACAGGATGTTTCAAATGAATATGGATTACTTTTATGGCGAAAAGGAGATGTAATGCACCAAAGTAAGTAACAGATTTTGTTTTTTTGTTTATTATTATTATTGTTTATTATTTTGATGCAACAATGAAATATATATATATATACCTTAGGAATATAAAAGAGTCTCCAACGACTAATTTTTTTGCTGTCATGAACGCATTCCAACCAGTTGTGAAAAATGTCTCTTTAGTTACACCAAAGAGATATCTTTTCACAATTGGTTTGAATACGTTCATGACAGCACACAAATTAGTCGTTGAAAACTCTTTTATATTCCTTATATATATTCCATTGTTGCATTTTTTTCAGTTATACTCGTCAGTTTTTCTGGCCGTGTGTTGTAGGTTTCCTCTCAAAGAACTGAAAGTAGAAAGACCACGTCTTACATTTGTGGCAGATTTTCCAACTTCATCATCAAATTAGGAAGTGAACTTAGATGATTTGTTTGTGGAATTCAGATCAAGACTCATAAGACTTTTGACTTGTGTTTGATGGTGTCACTTCTTTCCCTTATTATTTTTTTTAATTTCCTTTTGTTGAGGAAAGAAAATATTAATCTGCAGTATTTTTCTGTTTGATCATACATTATATACTTTTTTATTAAGGTTTCATTAAGGATAATTTTGTTTGATCTTTGATTTATGACCTTATCTTTAGTATACTTTAAAACAACCAATTAATCCACCAAATAACCTACATATATGTTTGTTTAAATTTTTATTTTTTAGTTAACTAACCAATGTTTTTTAAATTATTACCTAACTAATAGCCTAAAATGTAGTTCCTAAAGTTCCAGTAATGGAAACGGAGACTTGTTTGTAATTAGTAACTTCTTAAAATCTTTTTTTTTGCTAACCCAGTATCCAGACCACATTTGTGGGCCGACTAACCCACTGGACCGAAGTCTGCGACCAGAGATTTTTAAGCGTCCACTAAAAGGCCCCCTAGAACTGGTGGTCTGGGACGCTGCAGCCTGTATGTAAAATCCGCAGTGGCCAGGCGTCGAATCCTGAACTTCTTAAAATCTACTTACACAGTATTTTTTAATTCACTTTTTTTTTCTATTTCGAGTACTGGCATGGCAACGGAGACTTGTTCTAAATTTCTAATCATCGATCGGAAGAGAACATGTTCCTAGCTACTTTGATCAATGACAATCAGACGATATATAGAAGCTAAGTTTTACATCCCTCACTAAGTTTTAGAATCGCATACCGATAAAAGGTGAAATAGATTGACGCTTTCTTTGCATAAAATAAGTAATAATAGTGCGAACCTTTCGAGAAAAAAAAATGTTTAAAAAATGGCCAAGGAATAAAGAGAGCGTAATTGTTTAACATCAGGACCGTTAGCAAGTTCATCACCAAGAGAAACTGCTTTCTCTTGTCTCATACATTTTTGTTTTCTAGTCGGCAAAAAGATATTCTTCGACCAATTTGAAAGTCATTCCAATTCTTTAATTGCAACACAAGGCAATGCCGGCCAAAAACATAGTGCTATTTAGAGATGTATATTTGCATTTCTTCCTTTACTTTTCGTTTCTTTTAGTGCTATTTTTGTTGCAAGACCTAATAAAGAATGAAGCTAAGCGAGTCAAGAGGCGAAGCAGAGAAGCACAGGCGACAACAACATTTCGAGCATGAGCTTAAAAACATGATCTCGTCGTTAACCTATATGGGAGGCGCAGAGAAGGCTGGACCAAGCCAATATGGAGAAGAGGAAAATAAGGAGGAAGATGGCATCAGAGTCATCAGTCATCAGGCGCTCTGGATCGAACCTAGGAGCAATTTTCCCATCCTTATCATTTCTTCGTCTTCTTATAACTAAAAATGACTCGATGCAAATCTTATTTGGGCTTGCGACTATTAAATTTTCAAGGTCAGCCCTGTTCTTGTTTCCAATTTCATTTAATACTTATACGAGTTAACATTGTAAAGCCCATTGTTTTGCTTTCTTATTGCTAAAAATCAATTGCATGATAGAGAGAAGAAAAAATAGGATGAGGTAGCGAAAGAAAAAACTGAAGATTTTGTTAATATAAAAATTGTTTCCTCCGTACAGAGAACTTTACCATGTGAACTGGCCTTGTTCGGCTCCATGTCTCTTGGGGATATAGGTCCCACCATGCTTTAGAGAGATGACAAGTCAATGTATTGATGATAATAATAAATTAACAATACAAATATTTCTTGATTCTGCTGGATGGAATTTAGTAATAACCACCACAGCTTATTGATAAGGCCTACTGATTATGACCATTTGATTTTCCAAAACAAGTGGCTCAATTTGGTGGATGGGAGAGACGGTGACTCGGTGAGCAACAGCTTCTGTTTAAATTTATTTATGTGTTTTTGTTTTTGAGCAAAAAAGGTTGAAAAATAACTACGTCTTTTTTATGCTGAATCAAGAAAATAAAATGGAGAAAAATTGAGTTCTATTGGCAGCATAAAAATGAATTTTGCATGAGTGTTATCTTAACTATTAAACTTGGATGGTAGTCCACATTTTCGGTTCACCAAGAACATCTGCTGCATCAAAAGGTTTTTATCAAAATATTTCAATTCAAATATCTTATTTAAAAAAGAGAGAAATATGAGTGAAAAGAAATTTCATTTGAATATTTTCATAAACTCTTTTGATAATGAATCTAATTTTTATTAATTAAATTATATTAGAATATTAATTCTTTGTTTGTTTGAGAACCCACACACGGCTCCAACTCTTTAACTTTTTTGAATGACGAAAGTTTCTCCAGCAGAACGATGACTTTTGCATGAGTGTTATGCATCGCCGCATTTATATATTATTACACTTTCACACACATTATTTGACGTCAGTACATCTATTATATTTTACAAAATATGTTTATCTTATTATTATGTCGACATATTTGACATTTTTGAGTACCCCCAAACTAGATCTTGATTGCGACCTTATCTTAACGATGATCGGGATCGTTGTCAACAATTCATATCATGCTTATCACTTATAAATTTAGTGACGATATCAGATTTTTCAGGTTCACACGACAAACTCCAAATGTTTCTTTTTTTTGTTAAAACTTCAAATGTTTCTATACATGACTATGAGGAGAAACATGAGTGAAACGGTCTCAATCCAAGGGAGGAACATCAAATGGACCAAATTTGGGAACCGGAAGAGGTAAGGAGTCTGAAATGTAGCTTTGTGCCTCCAAATGGTGGGAACTTACTTTTAGTGTATATGATGAACGAGACGGACCCATACTTACCCAAACATGGATTAATAGGTTCTATACATGACTATGAGGAGAAACATGAGTGAAACGGTCTCAATCCAAGGGAGGAACATCAAATGGACCAAATTTGGGAACCGGAAGAGGTAAGGAGTCCGAAATGTAGCTTTGTGCCTCCAAATGGTGGGAACTTACTTTTAGTGTATATGAACGAGACGGACCCATACTTACCCAAACATGGATTAATAGGTTCTATACATGACTATGAGGAGAAACATGAGTGAAACGGTCTCAATCCAAGGGAGGAACATCAAATGGACCAAATTTGGGAACCGGAAGAGGTAAGGAGTCCGAAATGTAGCTTTGTGCCTCCAAATGGTGGGAACTTACTTTTAGTGTATATGATGAACGAGACGGACCCATACTTACCCAAACATGGATTAATAGGTTCTATACATGACTATGAGGAGAAACATGAGTGAAACGGTCTCAATCCAAGGGAGGAACATCAAATGGACCAAATTTGGGAACCGGAAGAGGTAAGGAGTCGAAATGTAGCTTTGTGCCTCCAAATGGTGGGAACTTACTTTTAGTGTATATGAACGAGACGGACCCATACTTACCCAAACATGGATTAATAGGTTCTATACATGACTATGAGGAGAAACATGAGTGAAACGGTCTCAATCCAAGGGAGGAACATCAAATGGACCAAATTTGGGAACCGGAAGAGGTAAGGAGTCCGAAATGTAGCTTTGTGCCTCCAAATGGTGGGAACTTACTTTTAGTGTATATGATGAACGAGACGGACCCATACTTACCCAAACATGGATTAATAGGTTCTATACATGACTATGAGGAGAAACATGAGTGAAACGGTCTCAATCCAAGGGAGGAACATCAAATGGACCAAATTTGGGAACCGGAAGAGGTAAGGAGTCTGAAATGTAGCTTTGTGCCTCCAAATGGTGGGAACTTACTTTTAGTGTATATGATGAACGAGACGGACCCATACTTACCCAAACATGGATTAATAGGTTCTATACATGACTATGAGGAGAAACATGAGTGAAACGGTCTCAATCCAAGGGAGGAACATCAAATGGACCAAATTTGGGAACCGGAAGAGGTAAGGAGTCTGAAATGTAGCTTTGTGCCTCCAAATGGTGGGAACTTACTTTTAGTGTATATGAACGAGACGGACCCATACTTACCCAAACATGGATTAATAGGTTCTATACATGACTATGAGGAGAAACATGAGTGAAACGGTCTCAATCCAAGGGAGGAACATCAAATGGACCAAATTTGGGAACCGGAAGAGGTAAGGAGTCGAAATGTAGCTTTGTGCCTCCAAATGGTGGGAACTTACTTTTAGTGTATATGATGAACGAGACGGACCCATACTTACCCAAACATGGATTAATAGGTTCTATACATGACTATGAGGAGAAACATGAGTGAAACGGTCTCAATCCAAGGGAGGAACATCAAATGGACCAAATTTGGGAACCGGAAGAGGTAAGGAGTCCGAAATGTAGCTTTGTGCCTCCAAATGGTGGGAACTTACTTTTAGTGTATATGATGAACGAGACGGACCCATACTTACCCAAACATGGATTAATAGGTTCTATACATGACTATGAGGAGAAACATGAGTGAAACGGTCTCAATCCAAGGGAGGAACATCAAATGGACCAAATTTGGGAACCGGAAGAGGTAAGGAGTCGAAATGTAGCTTTGTCCTCCAAATGGTGGAACTTACTTTTAGTGTATATGATGAACGAGACGGACCCATACTTACCCAAACATGGATTAATAGGTTCTATACATGACTATGAAGAAACATGAGTGAAACGGTCTCAATCCAAGGGAGGAACATCAAATGGACCAAATTTGGGAACCGGAAGAGGTAAGGAGTCTGAAATGTAGCTTTGTCCTCCAAATGGTGGAACTTACTTTTAGTGTATATGATGAACGAGACGGACCCATACTTACCCAAACATGGATTAATAGGTTCTATACATGACTATGAGGAGAAACATGAGTGAAACGGTCTCAATCCAAGGGAGGAACATCAAATGGACCAAATTTGGGAACCGGAAGAGGTAAGGAGTCTGAAATGTAGCTTTGTCCTCCAAATGGTGGGAACTTACTTTTAGTGTATATGAAACGAGACGGACCCATACTTACCCAAACATGGATTAATAGGTTCTATACATGACTATGAGGAGAAACATGAGTGAAACGGTCTCAATCCAAGGGAGGAACATCAAATGGACCAAATTTGGGAACCGGAAGAGGTAAGGAGTCGAAATGTAGCTTTGTGCCTCCAAATGGTGGGAACTTACTTTTAGTGTATATGATGAACGAGACGGACCCATACTTACCCAAACATGGATTAATAGGTTCTATACATGACTATGAGGAGAAACATGAGTGAAACGGTCTCAATCCAAGGGAGGAACATCAAATGGACCAAATTTGGGAACCGGAAGAGGTAAGGAGTCCGAAATGTAGCTTTGTGCCTCCAAATGGTGGGAACTTACTTTTAGTGTATATGATGAACGAGACGGACCCATACTTACCCAAACATGGATTAATAGGTTCTATACATGACTATGAGGAGAAACATGAGTGAAACGGTCTCAATCCAAGGGAGGAACATCAAATGGACCAAATTTGGGAACCGGAAGAGGTAAGGAGTCCGAAATGTAGCTTTGTGCCTCCAAATGGTGGGAACTTACTTTTAGTGTATATGATGAACGAGACGGACCCATACTTACCCAAACATGGATTAATAGGTTCTATACATGACTATGAGGAGAAACATGAGTGAAACGGTCTCAATCCAAGGGAGGAACATCAAATGGACCAAATTTGGGAACCGGAAGAGGTAAGGAGTCCGAAATGTAGCTTTGTGCCTCCAAATGGTGGGAACTTACTTTTAGTGTATATGATGAACGAGACGGACCCATACTTACCCAAACATGGATTAATAGGTTCTATACATGACTATGAGGAGAAACATGAGTGAAACGGTCTCAATCCAAGGGAGGAACATCAAATGGACCAAATTTGGGAACCGGAAGAGGTAAGGAGTCTGAAATGTAGCTTTGTGCCTCCAAATGGTGGGAACTTACTTTTAGTGTATATGATGAACGAGACGGACCCATACTTACCCAAACATGGATTAATAGGTTCTATACATGACTATGAGGAGAAACATGAGTGAAACGGTCTCAATCCAAGGGAGGAACATCAAATGGACCAAATTTGGGAACCGGAAGAGGTAAGGAGTCGAAATGTAGCTTTGTGCCTCCAAATGGTGGGAACTTACTTTTAGTGTATATGATGAACGAGACGGACCCATACTTACCCAAACATGGATTAATAGGTTCTATACATGACTATGAGGAGAAACATGAGTGAAACGGTCTCAATCCAAGGGAGGAACATCAAATGGACCAAATTTGGGAACCGGAAGAGGTAAGGAGTCGAAATGTAGCTTTGTGCCTCCAAATGGTGGGAACTTACTTTTAGTGTATATGATGAACGAGACGGACCCATACTTACCCAAACATGGATTAATAGGTTCTATACATGACTATGA